TCCACCTGGCCCACTACTAGTTTGGAATCGCACTTGATTCTGAGGTGCTTGGCCTTGAGGCCGGCGGCGAGTCTGAGACCGCTGAGGAGGGCCTCATACTCGGCTTCGTTGTTGGACACCCTGAAGTTGAAGCGGATGGCATAGTAGGCTCTGAATTCTTCAGGGGATATGAGGACGACGCCGCCACCGCATGATTTCGCGGCCGACGAGCCGTCAGTGAACAGGGTCCACGTGTCGTCCGGCTCCGGCCCGGGGTTGGCGACGGCCGTCTCCCTTGCTGTGCATTCGATGACGAAGTCGGCCAAGGCTTGCCCTTTGATAGATGGCCTTGGCTTGATCTCAATTTGAAACTGACTGAGGAAGATCGCCCACTTCACCATCCTCGAGGAGCTAGTGGGGCTCCTCATGAGCGCGCCGAGAGGCTGCTGGGTCAGCACATGGACGATGTGGGCTTGGAAATAGTGCCCCAGCTTCTTCACGGTGTGGACGATGGCCAGTACCGTCTTCTCAATGGGGGAGTACCTGAGCTCGGCCTCCCTAAGTGTCTTGCTGATGTAGAAGATGGCCTTCTGCACCCCTTCGTCCTCGCGGATGAGCACGGAGCTGATGGCCGACGTGCTCACCCCTAAGTACAGGAAGAGGGTTTCGCCGGCTTTGGGCTTGGAGAGTATGGGTGGGGACGACAGGTACCTCTTCAATTCGTCGAATGCTCCTGGCACTCCGTCGTCCACCTGAAGCTGGTTGCCTTGCGCATGATCTGGAAGAAGGGGAGTGGCCCTCTCAGCTGACCTGGAGAGGAAACGGTTCAAGGCCGTCAGGCGCCCCGTCAGTCGCTGTACCTCCTTGACGTTGCGGGGCGGCTCCATGTTGATGATGGCCTGCGTCTTTTCCGGGTTTATCTCGATGCCTCTCCGGCTGACCATGTAGCCGAGGAACTTGCCACCCTGGACGCCGAAGGCGCATTTCTTGGGGTTGAGGCGGAGCCTGAATTCCTTCATTATCTCAAAGATTTCCCGGAGGTCGTCGGCGTGGGAGGTGGCCTGCCTGCTCTTGACGATCATGTCGTCGACGTACGCCTCCATCGTCCGGCCAAGGACCGCTCTGAAGATTTTGGCCACCATCCTAGTATAGGTGGCGCCGGAGTTTTTGAGTCCGAAGGCCATGACGAGGTAGCAAAAGATTCCCTCTGGGGTCATGAATGCCGTCTTCTCGGCGTCCCCTTCATGCATGGAGATCTGGTGGTACCCTCTGAAAGCGTCGAGGAACGACATCAACTCGCACCCCGCCGTCTCGTCCACCAGCTGATCGATGTTGGGGAGAGGGAACGGGTCCATGGGGCACGCCTTGTTCAGGTCAGTGTAGTCAACACACATTCTGAACGTCGGCGGCTTCTGTGCGAGGACGACGTTGGCCAACCATGTTGGGTACTTCACCTCTTTGATATGTTTGATTGATAGGAGCATGGCGACCTCCCCTTTGACGAAGTCACGCCTGTCAGCGGACAAGTAGCGCCGCTTCTGTTTGACGGGCGCGGAGGCCGGATCGACGGTCAGCCGGTGAGTGATCACCTGGCGGCTTATGCCGGGCATATCGTCCGGGCCCCACGCGAAGACAACGGCGTATGACCGTAGGACGAGGAGGATGGCGTCTCGCTGGTCCTGGGGGAGTTGCTTTCCGACCCTGAGAACCCGCTCCGGCCGGGAGGTATCCAGAGGGATTTCCTCGACCTCCTCGGCTGGCTCCGTATGTGGCCTCTCCTCGTCCATGGCGGCGGCGGCCGTGATGGTATCTATCCGCTGTCCCTCCCTTTCGGCCGGCCTCGTCAGCTTGAGGTAGCAAGCTCTGGCTATCCTCTGATTTCCTCTGGCGTAGCCGATGCCGTCGCTGGTGGGGAACTTCAAGCATAGGTGCTTCATGGAGATGATGGCCTCCAAGTCCTCCAGCGATGGCCGGCCCAAGATCAAGTTGTGGGCGTACTGGAGGTTGACCACCATGAACTCCATGTCAATTTTGGCATGGTGGGGGCCGTCACCGACTTCCACGGGGAGGACTATCGTGCCCTCGGCGTCGATAGGGTCCCCGGTGAAGCCGGATAACGGGGTCTTGATCGGCTTCAGCAGAGCTCTGTCCAGCTTCAGCTGCTTGAAGGTGTCTAGGTACATCACGTTGACGTAGCTCCCCGTATCGATGTAAGTGCGGTGGATGATGGAGTCACCGATCTCACATCGGATGACGAGGGCGTCCCTGTGTGATTCCGTATCCGGGGGCAGGTCCTTGTTGGTGAAGGTGATCGCCTCCGTTCGCTGCTTCTTCGGCTGGGGGGGAACGTGGGACACCTCTCCAATGTAAAGGGATTGGGCCCATTTCTTCCTCTGAGTGGCGGAGTCCCCCCAGTGTTCCCGCCCACGATGAGGTGGATGTGATTCTTCTTCGGCGGAGGCTCCTCGAAGTCCTCGTCGTCGCTGAGTCTACCAATCTCGCGCTTCTTCGCAGAGGGTTCGCCCCCACGCTTGCCGGTGTTTACCCAAGTGTTTTTACGTGGGCCACCTTTGACAAACTGGGAGAGTTCCCCCTGGCGAATAAGACGCTCGATGGCCTTCTTTAATGTGATGCAATCGTCGGTGTTGTGCGAAAAGTTCTTGTGGAACCGGCAATACGTGCCGCCCTGTTGGATGGCCAGGACCTCCTCGGCCGGCCGAGGAGCCTGCTCGATGAGGCCGTGCTTCTCGGCATAATCGAGGATGGTGCCGACCGGGTGGGTGAGGGCTACCCCCGGCCGTTCCAGCCTCGGCCGCCAGTGGCGGTCTTTCTTACTTTGTCCACCAGAGCCGTGGCGGCCCTGGGCACCCTGGCCGGCCGGGGACGGACCCGAGGCCGGCGAAGGATTTGTCTTCTTGGGGGGATGGCCCCCCTCTCTCTTGTGATTGTGGAGCTCGTCGGCGTCGGCATACAAGCCTCCGCGTTGGAGCGCCTTGGCGTACGACCTCGGGGGGTCAGTGATGAGGCTCCTGGCGTACGGGGAGCTGCGGAGGGCTCCCTGGTACAAGGCGAGGAGGGTGCGCTCATCGGGCCCCTCGACCTCCTCGGTCTCCCTCGTCCACCGGTCGATGAATGACCGGAGGGACTCCTCGTGTTGCTGTTTGACGGAGAGGAGGTGGGTGAAATACTTCTTGGCGCGCTTCCTCCCGGCAAAGTGAGTGAGGAAGCGTTGGGCGAGATCTTGCCATGAGTCAATGCTTCCCTCTGGCAGCCCGTTGAACCACTCGTACGCTGGCCCCTCGAGAGTAGAGAGGAACCAACGGCAGAGGTATTCGTCGGACGCGTTCACCATCAGCATGTTGTTTTGATAACGGCTGAAGTGCTCCTGGGGGTCTGATCGGCCATCGTAGGACTTGATGGCATTTCCCCTGTACTTCTCAGGGATGGGGGCCGAGAGGACCCTGTTGGTGAAAGGGGTCCTAGTCCTGACCTGGATGATGGGGTCACCCCGACCTTCGGCCAGCTCCCTCTCCAGGGCGCTGACTTTGTTCATGAGCGCGTTGAGGCCGGGGTCGTTGGAGGCGCCGGCCTTAGGGACGTTGGCCGACTGCTTGGCCTCCATCTGAGCCAACCTCCTTTCCAGCTGGGCGATGACCTCGTCCCGGGGGTCCCCGTCGGCCGCGACGGCACCCGGCTGGTTCCTCCGGCGCTCGTTGTGAGCCGCGTTGATCTGGTGACGCACGTCATCCTCGTGCAACTTCCCCTTGCCCTTGTCCGGGCGGGGCTGGTCCGCTGTCCGGGACACAGACCCCAAACTCTCCCTTGGCGAGCCAGGACGAGGATCACCAATCCGTCCTGCCATCCTCTCCGAAACCGGACGACGGCGCGTGTCACCTAGCCTATTGAAGGCAGAGGCTTTTCCACGCGCTGGGGTCTGCCCGGGCCGAAGAGGGGAAGCAGGGTGGGAGTGGGACGACGCCGTGTCCTGGGCCACAACCCCTCATTGTTGCCTATCTGGTCAGCCAGGGGTTGGGGATGAGGAGGTGGAGTGACGTTTCCCCCGGTCCTTGGCAAGAGTGCGCTGAGGACGGTGGGATTCTGAGCCAAGCTGGCGATGATAGCCGATAGTGCGGCCTGGACCTGAGGATCTACGGACGGAGAGGCCGCGGCCATAGGCTGGGCCGGGGCGTGGTCCGCTTTCTCAGCTCGTCTCTTTTCCAGGCCGAGGCGGGCGTCGGGGACTCCGCCGTTGAGTTGGTTGCGGAGGTCCGTCGTGAGGTTGAAGGCTTCCTGGAAGAGGTCCCCTCCGCCGACCTGGTCGGCCGTGGCGTCCTCATCGTGCTCCCTGGGCTCTTGGTCCTCAGGGATGGCTTTGCTGACGAGGTTGCGGTTTGACTTAGTTCTCCCCATGATCAGCGGTTAGCTGTGCTTGGTAGCGACGAAGGGTGCTAACTTGATTGTTCTAGCTCTCAACGAGAGCACCAAATGATAGAGTATATCTCCTGAATTCTAGAGAGAAGTGAGAGCTAGAGAGAGAAGTGCAATAATATGCTTCAATAGAATGAATTTGTCACCCCTATAACTACTCCCAAGGGGAGTATTTATAGAGAAAATTAGGGTTGGGCTCCCAAGCCTTGGGCTTGGGAGGCCCATTTACAACTGGACCGCTACTGGGCCGAATACAAAGCCACTAATGGGCTGTACAAGTGAGTAAGTGTAGGATCCGATTCTGGGAGGTCCTCGTGGCCGACGAGGTCGTGGCCGACGAGGGCACGGCTGACGAGGGCACGGCCGACGGGGGCACCCGGGTTCCTTGGACTCGGGATCATAATCCGGGTTGGCTTCCTCTCGGCCGACGAGGTCGTTTGGCCGACGAGGGCGCCACTCTGTCTTGTGCTCTGTTCTTCCGAGTATGTGGGTCCTGGGGCTCAGACCCATATACTCCATCACTTCCATTATGAGCAAAAAGTACAAAAGCCACACACAAACACAGGATTAAATTAGAGTGAACAAGTATTTACCACTCCTAGCTCAACTGGGTACATCCCTTTGTTAGTAGATCGGATTCCTTTTCCAATTCTACAACGAAATATCACCTGATGAACCAAATACGTTATTATCATCTAGTATCAGAAAAAAACAGTAGCTCACGTGCTCAACTATTGCTTTCACAAACCTCGCCAGCACGAACATTTAGATCGCCTGTTAATGTTATTGCCTCAACATACTCAAAGAACTCAATATCAGATGATTTCTCTTCATCGTGTGAATTCCAGTTGCCGTATTTACGCTTTATGTGCACTATCTCAGTACCATAAGGTCCAAACGCCCCTACATAGAGACCTAAACAAAAAAAGAGATACATTCATCCCCAATATCAAACATTGACAGAAAAAAGTACGAGACGGTAAGAGCTGCATCATTTACAAATATAAACAAGTGGATTAAGGTTTAAGTTCAGCCTAGAGTGTGGGTGGGTAGGTGAATGAGAATGCTGACCATCAAAAGGATCTAAATTGCTGCCAGATGTTGTGACCTTAGTAAAACTTGTATATTCAGACAATCTATTCCAATTCTGTGCCTGACCAATCCCAAGCTTCAGTATTTCTCTCACTTTTTTTGAAATCTGCACCAGTTGTAGCCTAGAAAATTAAGAAACCCACACGACTATACTAACAAAGGTCACACTTAGGTGCCAATTATATCCAACTCCTTTTGTTTTAAATTTTAATTGGTTCATTTAGAAATAGTAATACATTTTCCTTGCCCGGTACAATGTTAATGTTATTACACCCTCTGTCCCAAAAGAAACTTCCGGCTTTCATATTAGGGTTGTCCCAAAATTAATCTCATTTCCAAAAAAGGTCATTTTTTCCTTTAATAAAATTGCTCCTTACTCCAACTTCTGTATGAAAAGCTATGGACTCCAAAACTTTTAACCAAAAGCAAATGAGAAGTTCATTTTGGGACAGATTGTCTAACCTTTATGACTTTCCCTGTAAAAAAAGGTAAAAGATCCAAAGAGCACGAGAGCCAAAAGAAAAATCTAGCTCCTTACCCTCCATAAATTTTACTTATTTACTTTAGGGAGAACTACCAAATAAGCCCTCGAACTTTCATAAAAAGTGCAAACAAGCCCTTTTATAGGAGGCTCTGTCCGGCCGTCGCCATTTGGGGCAGTTTCCGGTGGAAGTTTTTGATGAAATTTTTTGAGCATCTTCTTCCTTAAATCTAGTTTACTCATACCAAATTTCAGCTAAAAATTCAATCGGGAAGGCAGTCAAATGAATTTTTGAAGATAACTGCGCAGTTAGACAGCGCAGTATATTTCAGAAAACCATTTGACTGCCTTCTCGATTGCATTTTTAGCTGAAATTTGTTATGGGTAAACTAGACTTAATGAAGAAGATGCTCAAAAAAATTCATCAAAAAATTCCACCGAAAACCACCCCAAATGGTGACAACCGGACAAAGCCTCCTGTAAAGGGCTTATATTTGCAGTTTTTATGAAAGTTCGAGGGCTTATTTGATAGTTCTCCCTTTACTTTATTATTATTATTATTATTAATATTTCACTCATTTGTCAAGTTAAATAATTAACTAATCACTTAATTAATTTTTGATTGTATCTAAAAGATATACGAAGTATCTAGAAACAGTGGAAAGAAAAATATAGGGACTGATGCATAACCTTTGGAGAAACTTTGTCAGAAAATAAAAAAGCCTTTGCCACATCAGGAGGCATAAGTTCGGAAACACTTTGGGCAGCTATAGTTGCCACACTAACTGCAGATTGAGAATTTTCTACACCATCAAGATCTTGATATGTCCTTGGAATGTGGAACACAAAAGAATCTCTCTCTAGATCTTTAATTTCTGCCGGTACACGAATAAACTCATCTTTGGTTGGATTATCTTCTTTATCGTGAAAAACTCCACCTACAAAAAGTTTTATTTCTGGACTCTGATCATCTTCAGATGTGGTGCTCTCACCTCCCTCCGGAATTTGAATATGATTATTGTCATCAAGGTTACTGGTTTCATGACTTTCAGCAACTTCTTCCTCACTAAATTCACTGGATATATTACCATTATTCTCATCACTACTGTTTTCACTGACTTCTTCTATTGCTTGCCTCGCAGAATCACTCTCTTCAGTGACGTTTAGTTTAATAACTTTCAGTTTCAAATCAGGAATTCTATCTTTGAGAAAATTTATCACGCTTTTTACCCCTTCCTCAGCAGCTTCCTCAGAATCCATGCCTTTTCCATTTCTTTTTTCAATTTCATTATCATTGACCTTAGCATCAATAACTGATGCATCCTCAATATCAGCAGTGGAAGATCCCACCGGTTTTGAGTTCAATGAAAATGGATTCGGTTTAATTGATTTGGTTCGCTTCAAGAATACCGCCTGGAAAAAAAAGACAATGAGAAGCAGCAGTAGAAAAATGGAATCTAAAAGAGTAGTGTTTCAAACAGTTTAAGAACTGTTTGGTTTTTATATATATATCACCTGCATGTTGTAAGAACTGTTAGCTTTTTTTATGACATAGAACTCAAATAGCGGTGTTCCAGGAGAAGCATTGATCAACTGCCTGCAATCAACCAGCCATGAGTCTGTCAATTGAATTCCCAGGAATGACATGAAAATAATCAGAAGAGAGGGAGATAATAATTTCTTTCTATACCAGTCCTACCATTACTACCTTGGGGTATAACTCCTGGCAATAAATCTGCCCATAGCAGGAGATATACGTATCAATCTACCAAATGGATTGTCAGAGCCCTTTGAGTAGCCAACCCACCAACCAACCTGAAATTAGAACAATGATCTAAGGCACAAAGGTTTTGTACTTTTCTGGCACACATCACACTTGTACAACACTGACACACAATATTTAAGAGCAACACTTCCCATTGTTTCACCCTTCTTCTTGTACTCCCACCTGGTACTGAATGCCATATGCACCAATTTCCAACACGGTATACTATATCCAATTAAGTACTCGCTACTTAGGTAACAAAATTGAAACATATACTAACAGGGGCATAGCCAAAGCATCAAATAGGAGTGGGCCGGATTTCAATTAAAATAATTGTCTCAAATGTAATTCTATAAATAATAATTCAATTATCAAAATTAATTCAAGTGTATTGCAAAATTTACTTTTACTAAGAATATAATATGGGGTATATAGGAATTGTCCTAAATAGGAATAATTATTGTCATGATTTGGCATTAAGAGGCTTTAAGCATGATAGTATTTTCCAAACTTGGCAGTAATTACTAATTACAAATTACTCTTATTTAGTGAGCAAAACCATAGCACTCCTGTTTTGGAACTCTAAAACGTTCCAAAATATTGTTTCTTCCTATAATATATTGTGCCAAAAAAATAACTGGAACCTTATGTAACAATAATACTGAAAATATTGATATTTGATATTCAACTAATACAATCACTAAGATAATAGGACACATAAACATATGATTAAAAAATCAATTAATAAAACATTTTAAAAATAGAATTTGTAATTTAGGTTCAAAGTACAACATAATAATCCACAACACACAACCTAAAATCACAACAAAATCAATCCAAAATTAAAATCTACTGTAATAATTCACAATGAAAAGATGAATGGTACCAATTTGACATTCAATAAATGTAAACAGTTAAAACACAATAATCCTAAATATAAAACCTTAAATAATGTAAATGGGGATTTGAGATAGTCCGTAAAGTAAACTTCACTTTTTTCTCTGGCCTTTCGTTTGCTCTTATTTCTTTTACTTGCTCTTATATATATATATATATATATATATATATATATATATATATATATATATATATATATATATATATATATATATATATATATATATATATATATATATATATATATATATATATATAATTTTTTAGCTGCAAAAAATAAAACAAAATATTAGTTTATTATTTCTATCATAATTTTGGTCTTTGAGCTGCAAGTCATCTGTGGCAGAAATCGGCAAATATCATCCCAAAGTTTTCAAGCACGGGGCCAGCACTAAAAAAACTTCTTTATTACTACATTGGGACATGAGGAGGTGGCATGGTTATTAAGAAAAGTGAGTTTATATGGTTGATATTGAATTAATAAAGTAAGAATAAAGTAAGAAGGAATTAAAGCCACACAAATTTTACCAAATTTAGTATAGGGCAATCTTAGTGAGACTTGCCAAAAAGGAAAAATGGGACAATCTTAGCCGGCCGGAGGGAATATTTCTTAGTGAGGTAACACCAAACAGCACTAGGCTGGGCTGTGGAGGGGCTCCGGTGATGAGTTATTCCACCCTTTTATGGAGCATCTAATGATAAGAAACACTTTAGTAGGGTTGTATACGAATAAAATAAGTTATGCTTGGTTCGGGATTCATATTTGTATAAGACTTTTTGAATTCGAAAAATCCAAATACAAATACAAGAATACTAAATTTCATTTGAATCATTATCAAATACGAAGAAGAATATTAGCATATTCGATTCAAATGTTAATCAAATATATTCGATTAATAATAGTTATAATAGCATAATAATATTAATAATCATATTAATAATAATATTAATAACACTATAATAAATTTTAAAAGCTGGTTATACGGTTATACCTTCAAAGTGTAGCCCATATATACATTAACATATACACATTCCAAGCTCATTTATAATAAATCAAAATTATCATACGGATTAAGGGTTGTCAACAGAACAAATAATTTTGATTCGATTCGTGATTTGGATTCAAAAACCATGATTTGAATTTGAAAATATATAATATGAATTCGAATACAAATCAAATTTTCGTTTCAAACACCTTTCAAATACAAATACAAATAATTATTATTCAATTCGAAGAATAATCAAATATATTTATTTATACATAATTCAGAAGGATGGTGAATTGGATGGAGATGTATGTCATAGAATCAGAGCTGGGTGGATGAAATGGAAGAGTGCTTCAAGATTTCTATGCGATCGAGGTATGTCGACTAGACTGAAAGGTAAATTTTATCGTACATCAATTAGGCCGGCAATAATGTATGGCGTAGAGTGTTGGGCGGTGAAGCAATGCCACATTCAAAAGATGAGTGTGACAGAGATGCGTATGTTGCGTTGGATGTGTGTACATACCAGAAAAGACCGCTTGAGGAATGAGATAATCAGACAAAAGGTGAGAGTAGCAACTATAGAAGATAAGATGCAGGAGTCTCGTTTGCGGTGGTTTGGGCATGTGCGTAGAAGACCGAGTGATGCACCTGTTAGACAACTTGAGGGGTGGGGAGAAGAGGCAGAGGAGAGGGAGGGAAAGACCCAAACAGACTTGGATTAGAGGAATCAGAACTGATATGCGTCTTCTTGGGTTGGATGAGAGTATGGCTTTGGAGAGAGCAAAGTGGAAGGCGCACATCCGTGTGGACGATTGATGTCTTTTCTACTTTTCTTCTCTTTTTTCTTTTATCGTTTATCTTCCGTATCTTTTTATATTCTTATGTTATTTTTATCTTGTAGCTTTTCTATGCTCTTTTATTTTTTATCTTTTATCTTTCTTATATTCTTGTGTTATTGTTATCTTATATTTATTTATTTTTATTTTATTCATTTTATCTTACTTTTTTTCTTCCCTTTCTTGTCTGTCTTCTCTTTTTGGCATCGATATTGTGGAAACCCTAGTAGTATTGGGCTTAGCCCATTTGTATATCTTGTATAGGAAACCCTAGTACTCTAAATATAGCTATAAATATAGCTTCTTGTATATCATTTTAATATCAAGTATATGAAATATAATAATACTTGTTCACATGGTATCAGAGCCGCTATGGCAATTGTTAGGGTAGTGTTATGATTTTTTTTCCAGCGTCATTTCCGGCCAGAATTCCGGCGTGAACAGTATCGCGACTTTCAAATGAGTGCTTCCGGTAGTGATATCAACCCACCGCTGTGCTCAAGGCTTCATCGCGACTTACCGCCGGAGGAATCACCTGTGCCGCATCACCCACGCGTCGCTGAAATCCGCTCCTGCAGTTTTACATTTTTTGCAGATCTTTCTCCTTCTGCTTATCTGGCGTTGACACCTCCAACCACCAGAAGTTCCTGAGTTTCCGGCGACCAGAATGACATAAGTTACGCCGCCGTCGACCGAGTCATGCGCCGCCGCCGTCAAACGCGCCACCGCCAACCGCCGCCGACATCCGCCGAACACCGTCGTCCTTCGCCGACCGCCATCAACAAGCAGTCATCCGCATGTCCCCAGAAAGGTAGAGGTCTGTTCTCTTCATGCCTTTGTAGCTGCAGTTCTTCAACATGCCTGCAACCTGCCTGGGGTTTCTTAGGCCTGGGGAATTCTTAAGTCTGTCACCGCTGCTTATTCTCTGTGGTTGACTACTTTGTTGTTTCTTTTTAAATTACTCATATTTACTTTTCTTGCAGCAGTAGTTTTTATATTTACTTTTCTCTTTGCAATTTAAAAAAAACAAAAAAAAATCAAAAAAAAATCAAAAAAATATAAAAAAAAAAAGAAAAACAGTAAAAAAAATGTATTTTATGAGTTCCGACAGAGGAAACAACACCGGATGCTCAAGATGGAATCGTTCTCGATGTGATTTTTGTCATAAAATTGGTCATACTAAAGACAGGTGTTGCCAATTACATGGGAGACCTCCTTCCTCAGCCCATGTTGCTCAGCTACCATCATCTCCCATTGTTCTATCACCGGTAGAATATGCAGCATTTCAGCAATTTAAGTTGGCTAATATGCATTTATCCACACACGGGATGTCTACCGCTTGTGTTTCAAACACAACAGGCTCATGGATCATTGACTCGGGTGCCTCAGACCATATTTCTAGTAATCCCCGTCTTTTATCCCATCTAACCAAGCACCGACATCTTCCTTTGATTACTCTTGCTAATGGCCTTCAAACTTCGGCTTCGGGTATTGGGCAAGCACTTCCACTTTCATCCTTACCATTAGACTCAGTCTTATATGTCCCAAACACCCCTTTTTCCTTGTCTTTGTCAGTAAAATTACACGTGCTCTTAATTGTTCCGTAACATTTTCTGCTGATTCTGTGATTGTGCAAGACCGTTGTACGGGAAAACGATTGGCGTCGGCCATGAATCTCAAGGTCTGTATCATCTTCATCCTCTTGATCCAACCATTTGTGTTTCAGTTGAACCTGCTATTACCTTACATAACCGTCTGGGTCATCCTAGTCTCTCAAAGTTTCAACGTATGGTTCCAGGTTTCTCAAATCTTTCATCTTTAGATTGTGAGTCATGTCACCTTGGAAAACAACCTCGTAAATCCTTTCCCAGACGAGTCAATAAACGGGCTACATCACCGTTTGATTTAGTTCATACAGATGTATGGGGTCCGTATCGAGTCACTTCTACTTTAGGTTTCCGTTATTTTGTTATTTTTGTGGATGATTATTCCCGTTACACATGGTTGTTTTTAATGAAAGAGCGTTTTGAATTGTATCATATTTTCCAAACTTTTTGTGCCGAAGTTCAAACTCAGTTTGGTCATTCTATCAAAATTTTACGCAGTGACAATGCTAAAGAATTTTTTGGGGCATCCTTTAATCAATTCATGACATCACGAGGTATGCTTCACCAATCTTCTTGTGTTCACACGCCTCAACAAAATGGGGTTGCTGAACGCAAGAACCGACACTTGGTTGATACTGCTCGTACCCTATTATTACATTCCCATACACCACCTCAGTATTGGGCAGATGTTGTGCTCACTGCGTGTCACTTAATAAATAGA